GGACATCCAGTTGGACCAGCACCATTTGTTGAAGATGCTGTCTTTTTCCCTTTGAATGGTTTTGGCTTCTTTGTCAAAAATCGAGTATTCATAGGTGTGTGGGTTTATTTCTGGATCTTCTATGTGGTTCCATTGATCCTCCTTTCTGTTTTTATGCCAATACCATGCAGTTTTTATTACTATTGCTTTGTAGTACAACTTGAGATTGGGGATGGAGATACCTCCAGATGATCTGTTGTTGTACAGGATTGTTTTGGAGATTCTGGGTTTTTTGTTTCTCCATATGAAGCTGAGAATCTTTTTTTCAAGGTCTGTAAAGAATTGAGTTGGTATTTTGATGGGGATTGCATTGAATCTGTAGATTGCTTTTGGCAGGACGGCCATTTTCACAATGTTAATCCTACCAATCCATGAGCATGGGAGATCTTTCCATCTTCTAATATCGAGTATATACAAAGAACTAAAGAAGCTGAAAAGCAGCAAACCAAGTAATCCAATTAAAAAATGGGAAACAGAGCTAAACAGAGAATTCTCGACAGAGGAATATCGAATGGCAGAGAAACACTTAAAGAAATCCTCATCCTCATTAGCCATCAAGGAAATGCAAATCAAAACGACCCTGAGATATCACCTTACACCCATCAGAATGGCCAAAATGAAAAACTCAAGGGACAACACATGCTGGAGAGGTTGTGGAGAAAGGGGAACCCTCCTGCACTGCTGGTGGGAATGTAAACTGGTACAACCACTCTGGAAATCTATCTGTCGCTTTCTAAGACAATTAGGAATAGTGCTTCCTCAAGACCCAGCTATACCACTGCTAGGTATATACCCAAAGTTTGCTCAAGTACACAAAAGGGATATTTGCTCAACCATGTTTATAGCAGCTTTATTTGTAATAGCCAGAACCTGGAAACAACCCAGATGTCCATCAACGGAGGAATGGGTACAGAAATTGTGGTATTTTTACACAATGGAATACTACTCAGCAATCAAAAAGGAGGAAATCATGAAATTTGCAGGCAAATGGTGGGATCTAGAAAAGATCATCTTGAGTGAAATATCCCAGAAAGAGAAAGACAAACACGGTATATACTCACTTATATAGACCTATAAGATATAATAAACATAATGAAATCTATACACCTAAAAAAGATAATCAAGAGAGAGGACATGGGGTAAGATTATCAATCCTCGTTTTGAAAGACAGATGGGATACGCATTGAACATTGACAGGAGTCTACTGAGCGCATTGGAAAGGCTCTAACTAGCAGTGTTTTCAAAGCAAAGACTCATGACCAAACCTTTGGCAGAGTACAGGGAATCATAAGAAAGAAGGGGAGTTAGACTGATGAGGAAAGGATAGGAGCTCCACAAGGACCAAAGATATCTGGGCACAGGGTCTTTTCTGAGACTGACATGCAACCAAGGACCATGTATGAATGTAACCTAGAACCTCTGCTCAGATGTAGCCTGTGGTAGCTCAGTAACCAATTGGTTTCCCATAGTGAGGGGAACAAGGACTATTTCTAACAGGAACTCAATGGCTGGCTCTTTGGCCTCCCCACCCCCCAAGGGAGGAGCAGTCCTGTTAGGCCACAGAGGAGAGCTTTGCAGCCAGTCCTGAAGATACCTGATAAAACAGGATCAGATGAATGGGGAGGAGGTCCCCCCTATCAGTGGACTTGGCAAGGGGCACGGTGGAGATGAGGGAGGGAGGGAGGGACTGGGAGGGAATGAGGGATCGGGACACGGCTGGGGTACAGAGTTAATAAAATGTAACTGATAAGAAATAAATAAAATACAAAAAAAAAAAAGAAAAAAAAGAATTTTCCAACTTAAAGAAAGAGATGTCCATAAACATACAAGAGGCCTCTAGAACACCAAATAGACTAGACTGGAAAAGAAACTCCTCACATCACATCATAGTCAAAACACTAAACCTACAGAACAAAAAAAAAAATATTAAAAGCAGCAAGGGAGAAGGCCAAGTAACATATAAAGGTAGACCTATCATAATCACACCATATTTCTCAACAGAAACTATGAAAACCAGAAGGGCCTGGGCAGATGTCATGCAGACTTTAAGGGACCACAGATGCCAATATAGACTACTCTACCCAGCAAAGCTTTCAATCAACATAGATGGAGAAAACAAAATATTCCATGACAAAGCCAAACTTAAACAATATCTACATAGCAACCTAGCCCTACAGAAGATACTAGAAGGAAAACAATCCAACCAAACCAACTATACCCAATAAAACATAGGATATAGATAACTACATAGCAAAAAATCAAAAGAATACAAGAAATGAAACAGTAACACCCCCGAACCCACAACAAAAGAAATTAACATTCGTTGATGTTAATTTCTATTATCTACCAACATCGATGGAATCAACTGTCCAATAAAAAGACACAGACTAACAGAATGGTTGCAGAAACAAGATCCAACACTCTGTTGCATCCAAGAAACACACCTCTGCAACAAAGATAAACACTACCTCAGTGTAAAGGGCTGGAAAAATGTTTTACAAGCAAATGGACTCAGAAAACAAGCTGGGGTACCTATCCTAATATCTAGTAAAATAGACTTTCAACCAAAATTAACCAAAAAAAGATGAGGAAAGGCACTACATTCTCATCAAAGGAAAAAAATCCACCAAGAGGACATCACAATTATGAATATCTATGCCCCAAATACAAAGAGCAATTAAATTTGTAAATGAAACATTATTAAAGCTTAAATAACATATAGCTCCCCACACATTAATATTGGGAGACTTCAACACTCCACTCTCACCAAGTGACAGATCATCTAGACAGAAGCCAAATAGGTAAATAAAGGCATTTACAGAGGTAATAAATCAAATGGACCTAATACATGTCTACAAAACTTTTCACTCAAATTCAAAAGAGTATACCTTCTTTTCAGCACCTCATGGAACCTTTTCCAAAATAGACCATATAGTTGGTCACAAAGCAAGCCTCAACAGATAGAAGTAGATTAAAATAATCCCTTGTATTCTATATGACCACCATGGACTAAAGCTGGACCTCAACAACAACAGAAAGAGCAAAAAGCCTACACAAACATGGAAACTGAAAAACTCTCTACTCAATGACAAATGGGTCAGGGAATAAATAAAGAAAGAAATAAAAGTCTTTGTATAATTCAATGGAAATGAAGGCACAACATACCTAAACTTATGGGACACAATTTGAAAGCAGTGCTAAGAGGAAAATTCATAGCACTAAGTGCCTTCAAGAAGAAATTTGAATGGTGGATCAATGGAATCAAATAGAAGACCAAGAAATAAACCCACATAGTTATGGATGCCTGATTTTTGACAAAGAAGCCAAAACCATACAATGGAAAAAAGGAAACATCTTCAACAAATGGTGCTGGTCCAACTGCATGTCTACATGTAGAAAAATGTAAATAGAACCATATTTATCACCATGCACAAAACTAAAGTCCAAGTGGATCAAAGACCTCAATATTAAACCAGACACACTAAATCAATTAGAAGAAAAAGGTGGGAAAAGCCTAGAACTCATTGGAACAGGTAACAACTTCCTGAAGAGAATACCAACAGCACAGGCTCTAAGATCAACAATCAATAAATGGGACCTCATGAAACTGAAAAGCTTCTGTAAAGCAAAAGACACTGTCTTCAGAACAAAACGATAGCCTACAGACTGGGAAAGTATCTTCACCAACCCTATATCTGAGATAGGGCTGATATTCAGAATATATAAAGAACTAAAGAAGTTAAACAGCAACAAATCAAGCAATCCAATTAAAAAATGGCACAGAGCTGAACAGAAAATTCTCTGTAGAGGAATATGAGAGAAACATTTAAAGTAATGTTCAGTGTCCTTAGTCACCAGGGAAATGCAAATCAAAATGACCTTGAGATTTTACCTGACACCCATCAGAATGGCTAAGATAAAAAACTCAAGTGACAATACATGCTGGAGAGGATGTGGAGAAAGAGGAACCCTCCTCCATTGTTGGTGGAAATGTAAACTTGTACAACCACTTTGAAAATCAATTTGGTGCTTTCTCAGACAATTAGGAATAGTGCTTCCTCAAGATCCAGCTATATCACTCCTAGGCATATATCCAAAATATTCTCAAGTACACAATAAGGACATTTCTTCAACCATGTTTGTAGTAGCTTTATTCATAATAGCCAGAACAAGGAAACAACCCAGATGTCCCTCAACAGAGGAATGGATACAGTAATTACGGTATATTTGCACAATGGAATACTACTAAGCAATTAAAAACAAGGAAATCATGAAATTTGCAGGCAAATGGTGGAATCTAGAAAAGATCATTCTGAGTGAGGTATACCAGAAGCAAAAAGATGTGCACAGGAGCTCCACAAAGACAGCAACAGTACCAAAATATCAGAGCATAGGGGTCTTTTTGAGACTGATACTCCAACCAAGGACGATGCATGGAGATAACTTAGAACCCCTGCTCAGATGTAGCACATGGCAGCTCAGCATCCAAGTGGGTACCCTAGTAATAAGAACAGGGACTGTCTCTGACATGAACTCTGTGATTAGCTCTTTGACCACCTCCCCCTGAAGGGGGAACAGCCTTGCCAGGACACAGAGGAGGACACTGCAGCCAGTCCTGATGATACCTAATAAGCTAGGGTCAGATGGAAGGGGAGGAGGACCTCTGCTATCAGTGGACTTTGAGAGGGGCTTAGGAGGAGAAAAGGGAGGGAGGGTAAGATTGGGAGGGAATGAGGGTTGGGGCTACAGCAGGGATACAAAGAAAATAAACTGTAATTAATATAAAAAGTAAAATTTAAAAATTAAAAAAAAAGCTAGTTTTGGAAACGGATATTACAACACCATTCAAGTTCACGTCAAAGGTAACTTTGGTCTGGACTAGTTAGCTATTACTTCTCTCATAACTGTTTCATCAAAAGGTTAATATTTACCTTGAATATACTTTACCCCTGAGCTGGGCAGTGAGGCACTATAGCAGGCACTGCATGGCGGCCTCTCCATGCCACCAAAGACCTCAGAGTCAGGTTTGTCTTGAGGTGTCTTCTACTGCCTGGAAACTTGAGGAAACGATTCAATAGCTGGTGAGTTTGGGGGAGGCATAGTGAGAGCTTGGCAAAGAGGGGGTCGGGGCCATCATTCAGGTACTACCCTAGGAAGCTGTATTATCAAAGGGCTTACAGAGAGAAAGTGTTCAGTTCAGTGAATTTAAATCTAGAAATGGTAGAATGTGAATGTGTCCCTAGGGAAACCCAAAAGATCCCGGCCCATGAATGTGCTTATTACATGCAACATTGGCACAAAAAGGATGTTGTGACAGGCCTCCTACTTCTTTCAGGCAATCCAGTTAATATCTTATTGTTTTTTAATTCTATATTAATTACACATTATTCACTTTGGATCCCTCCTGTGGTTCCCTCCCTCCTCCCATTCAATCCCTTCCTTCCTCCCATATTTTATTGTTTTTTAAAAAGCTTTTATTTATTTGGAGACACTTGCTACTTTGGAAGCAGGTATGAATTTCCTTGAGTAAAGGGCTTCTTAGTATTGTGATCAGTTCCCAAATGAATCTGGGAAGGACTGAGAAGAAGAGGAACCAGATCAGGATGGTTTTGGCATACAGATAGCCAATACATAAATGAAATAGATGAACCAGGAAACAGAAAAAAAAGGAAAAGGGCATTTCTTGTTCTTCTACAGACTCCCAGAATGCAAGTCTTCCAAAGCCTTTACTGGGAAACCACTCTATCATTCTGTATTTTACAGAATCCTTTAGTTCTTGCAAGAACCTCGAGCCAGATAGTGATGTCCATATTTTTAATTTAGTAACAGCTGGAACTTGTACAAATGATACTGGCCATCATCTGAGTCAACCTTTGACATGCAATGGAATTATTTTTCCTATTTCCAATAGCTCCTCTCTAGAAAGACACTCTTGTTAATCTCTAAATTATACCAGTAAACTGAGAATGAAATACTGAATCCCACCTTCAACTCTGAGTGTGTGTTGAGAGCTAAGACTGAAACACTAATTTTTCACTGAATCTCCTGTATTTGGGGCAGCGCCTCGATTTCTAGTTAAAGCTAGTTGCTGTTGTAAAAACACACCCTGGAATATCAGCGTGTTAACATGAACATGTGTATGTTCTAATACACATTTGTTCATTTGAAATCATCTGGCATGCAAAGCTGCCCCTGTCCAAACGAAGATTTGAAAACCCAAGCTGCCTTTATCCCGTAGCTGTGGCTTTGGAAGATGGGACATCTGGGCAGATCCAGCAGCAGAAAAGAAGTGTCCTAAATCTTCCCGGTACACTAGTGCATTATGGCAAAACCCAGTCCACTAGCCAGATTAGCCATTTAATCACATCTATCTTACCCCCGGGAACTATGAATAGTCTAGGGGATCGTAAGCAATACAGCTGTGCTAGCGGAATATTGCTGTTTCCATAAAGGGACACCCTGGAGATGAACATCAGATCTAAGAACAAAACTCACTTCTCATTCATTCCTAGTCTGAAGGTCGTTTCATTGTTGCGGATTGACTACAATCTGCTGGATAAAGTCAGGAGTGGAACAATAACACGTTGGCAATCCATTTAAGGTGCTGGAACATTGGCTATTTCTCACTCCCCAGCCTATGGATAAAGAGAGGAAAATTTTTGTAACTTTTGTCTGACTGTGCAGCCATTCTTGAGCAAATAGAGGCAAGACAGTGATCTCAGGGGGTCACTCAGGACACCTTTCCCAGTGGCTTGATTCTGTGTGACTTGATGGATTCACCATGTGCTGCAGGCCAGATGCTATGTTTGCTCCACACGCTGCTCCATGTGGCTTCTAGGGCATCAGGAGCAAATCAGATTTTAAAATCCATAATTAAATTCTTACATGTGCTCTATTTTGTAAGTATCAAATGCTGTGACGTGTGAGAAAATGCTTTGCAAGGTGTTGAGATAGATTTAAATGCCAAGGTTATTTTTATGAGCAACTAGATGAGGGTCACTTGTTTGGTTGGTTGGTTGACAACTTACTAGCTTGCTTGCTTATACTTTCTGATGGAGCTGTGAGGTTGCCAGAAGAAGCGAAATGCTGCACATGACCATGACATTTCAAGCATCTATGGTCCTTGCCATGTCCTTCATTCTATGAATCATTTTTGGCAGCAGATATTTTCTTATTTTCATAGTGATTAACACCAGGCAACTGAAGTCAGAGCAGGGTGCTAGTTGTGTGAATTTGTATGAAGAATTTAATAATTCTTTCATTTGTGAAGTGGAGGATAATAATATTTTCATTTGGGGATGACAATGAGAGTTAAAACAGTAGTGGGCATAAGCTATTCACCCTGTATATTCGCAATCATGGTAAATTGGACAGACGCTTACAGTAAATTTTTGCTATTATTATGAAACCATTGTTTTTCTCATCGAGCATAATAAAACCATCCCATTTCGTAAATAACCCCCCCAATCTTTCTAAGCACTGTTTGCCTAAGGGATGTAAGGGACCCTTGAAAACATGCACAGCCTCTTCCTGTCTTACTCTTCCTAGATAATGAAGCCATGAATTTGTCCTGGTTCTTGAAAATAACTCTCTGTAGACAAAGTCTGTGGAGCCTCTCCTGTCTTTTACAACATCTGTCCTTGAGGCTGGAACAGTCTCATTATTCATGATGACCAAATCACTTTTTGCCAACCTTGGATCCTATAATCTTCCAGACTTGGCCTTACAATGTGGTCCTTGATCTTATCTTTGACATTCCACATCTTGGCCTAAATACCAAGAGAGCAGGCCAAGGATTTTGAACTACCAAAGAAGACTTCAGTGAGGCTGTTTTCCCTTAGAGTCTCCCAGGAGGACCTGTAATTCTAACCTTTTTCTCCACAGAGGACCCCAGGGTCCTCCAAGCAAATGCAAATTCTGAAACCCCAGAGTTTCTTAAGCAACAGCACCATGCAGCCCACAAAATCTTCACAGGAAAACAATGTGTTATCTAGGATACGTGGCTCAGCCCAGATCATCACCCAGAACAAAACAAAGTCTTCCTCAACAAGGCAGCCAGTTCCAGTTTCCCTCTTGGGTTAAGTTTAAGCATCAGACTGCAGCACCAGATGCTGGAAACAGCCTTGCTTTTGGTCTTTCATCTTGTCACTAGTTTCTGAATTGTTCCTCTCTGTTTTTTAACCCTAAAAGAATGAGCTTGAAGAAGCTCAGGGACACAAAGTTCCTGCAACAACATCACACATGTGTTCTGTGTGCAAAATCTTTCCTTATGCACACCCTAATTACCAGGACAATCAGAGTCAAACAGAACAGAAGCAACGCACATGAATGAGACAGGAAATAGGCACACGAGAAATTGTTAGTTGGCTAGAATCCTCTCTTCCGTTTCTGTCTTCATTCAACTTTGGTGTGAAGCAGATTGTAATACACAAAAACATTGCACTCAGTTCCTTCTCAAATTTGGGGAAAGCTTTGAGTAGCAAAGTATGGCTCTTTTCAACTGTCAGTCTTACACTGTTCCTTTAATAAGAATAATGACCTCAGTACTCCACTGACCTTTACTTCTATCATAAAAAGAAAGTTGGTTTATTGTATCTTTAAGATTCAAATCTTTTCTTAAATGTAATTTAACATGTAATTCAAATTACTGATCAGAATTATATACATTTTTGAAGTATTATACATAAATATTACATAAAATTTATGTTTGAAAATGCTACTATGACAACTTTGCTCTTTACTGTTAAACTGGAGGTAGTATCTATGGTTGGAGGCCAATAGGAGATATAGCATCCATGTGACTGTCTGCACTCCTTTACTGTCCAGAAGTTTCTGAGCTTCCTTTTCTCTGAAAGCAAAAGAAGAAGATTAATCAGAGTACTATGGACAGGTAATTCTGAGCTGCTTTTCTTGCATTAGATTCCAGCTCTGCAGTCTCTATGCTAGATGTATTCACAAGAACATTGCCAGGAACATTTAATGTGTGGGATGGAAATAATTAAAATCTGCTGGACTTTGACCTCTCAGAAAAGCAGAGACATGGCACACAGAGGAACGCAAAACTGAAGAAATCTACACAGTAATTCAGTGTTGCACTATCCTAAAGCCGGAATTACAGGGTGTAGAGGGTTGTGGAATCAGTGGATTCACTAGGAGAATTCACAGACCTCAGCGCATAATTGAGGCTATAGTTCAAAGATGCAAAGAAAAGCTAGAACCAGGAAAAGTCTGGGTAAAAACTTCAAAAAGATGCATTGAATCCTCCAGAATTTTCAAGATGAGACATGTTAGAGACTGTGTGCCTACAGGCTCATGTTGGGAGCTGGTCATATGATCACTCTCTGTCCTAAGTCCTGGAAAGAAAGCAGATGTTTAGCATAAATCATAGTGTTTATAAAAAAATTTTTAAAAGGATCAGATATAGTATGTGACTATTATCAGACCTATGTCTGACAATACCTACTGCTATGTAATCGTTTATCCATAATCCAAGACATAACCTTGAAAGCATGTGTTTCAAGAGACACATGCTCAGAACAGCTTTTTTGTGCTCACAGAATTATGAATGATCAATTGCAGATAGTTGCACATCATATGAGTAATTCATTGGCCTAGGTTTTATTAAATCATTGGTATTAATCATAGGTAGGGGTGGGTTAAATCAAATATGGTTGTTGAATTGGTCAAATTAGCTCAGCACCTTGGGAGCTTCCTGCCCATTCATTCAAGGTTTCCTGTGCAAAGCTTTATAGATAAAGTCAAAAGCATCTTCATAATCATGATCTAACACTCCCACATCCCAGGGACTCTGGGGTTTTGTTCTCATTCTTTGGTTTTTGTTTTGTTTTTGTTTTAGTTTTCACATAACTTGTTTAGTCCCTTAGGTAGGAATTGTGTGCAACTCTCTGTTGGACTTCCCCAGAACTTCCCCTGGCTCCAGCTGCCCTCAGACAAGTTCTGCCCCATCTCTAGTCCAGCCAAGGTATTCAGCATCCCACATTTGCTTTTTTTAAATTTTATTTTATTTTATTAATTATACTTTATTCACTTTGTATCCCCCCCATAAGGCCCTCCCTCCTCACTTTATTCACTTTGTATCCCCCTGTGGTTCCTTCCCTCCTCCAGTCCCAATTCCTCCCTTCCTCCCCCCTCTGCATACATGCCCCTTCCCAAGTCCACTGATAGGGGAGGTCTTCTTTTCCTTCCTTCTTATCCTAGTCAATTAGATCTCATCAGGAGTGGCTTCAGTGTCTTCTTCTGTGGCCTGGTAATGCTGTTTCCCCCTCAGGGGGGAGGTAATTAAAGAGCAGGCCAATCAGTTCATGTCAGAGACAGTCCCTGTTCCTATTACAATGGAATCCACTTGGATACTGAACTGCCATGGGCTACATCTGTGCATCTATTCCAACCAATGCATAGTTCTTGGTTGGAATAGCAGTCTCAGAAAAGACCCCTGTGCTCAGAATTTTTGGTTCTCTTGCTCTCCTTGTGGGGTTCCTGTCCTCTCCAGATCTTACTGTTTCCCACTTCTTTCCTAAGATTCCCTGCACTCTGCCCAAAGGTTGCCCATAAGTCTTAGCATCTGCATTGATAGTCTGCAGAGCAGAGCCTTTCAGAGGTCTTCCGTTTCAGGCTCCTGACTTGTTCCCGCTTTTCTCTTTCTTCTGATGTCCATCCTCTTTGCCTTTCTGGATAGGAATTGAGCATTTTAGCAAGAGTCCTCCCTCTTGATTAGTTTCTTTAGGTGTACAGATTTTAGTAGGCTTGTCCTATATTATATGTCTATATGAGTGAGTATATACCATGTGCATCTTTCTGCTTCTGGGATAGCTCACTCAGGATGATATTTTCCAGTTCCCACCATTTACCTGCAAATTTCATGATTTCCTTGTTTTTTATTGCTGAGTAGTATTCCATTGTGTAGATCTACCACAGTTGGTGCATCCATTCCTCCACTGAGGGGCATCTGGGCTGTTTCCAGCTTCTGGCTATTACAAATAAGGCTGCTACAAACATGGTTGAGCAAATGTCCTTATTGTATACTTGAGCCTCTTTTGGATATATGCCTAGGAGTAGTTTAGCTGGATCTTGAGGAAGCGCTATTCCTAGTTGTCTGAGAAAGTGCCAGATTGATTTCCAGAGTGGTTGTACAAATTCACATTCCCACCAGCAATGGAGGAGGGTTCCCCTTTCTCCACAACCTCTCAGGCATGTGTTGTCTCTTTAGGTTTTGATCTTAGCCATTCTGATGGGTGTAAGGTGAAATCTAAGGGTTGTTTTGATTTGCATTTCCCTGATGGCACATTTTCATCTGAAGTTTTAGTCCTTTGCCATTCCTGATTGAAGAGTGCATTTCTGAGATCTGTACCTTTCCCTAAGCCAATAACTTAAAATATCCTTTTGTGTCTACCTTTATGTTCTGGGTAGATTTTACTCTGTTGTCTCCTGCATCAGAATTGGTAAGGAATTCAAAGGTTGCATTTACTATTCTTTTCTGCCAGAATCTTCTCATGTAAGAGCCCTGAGTGCTGTGACCAACCCAAGCGTCTACAGCATCTTTGCAGCTATTGATCTCACTGTCTTTGCTCTTATTAGAGAAATTCCTGGTAGAACCTAAATATACCCTCTTTGGATACTTCTGGGTGTTTGTGTCAGAAGTACCATGCACTGGATACAGGGCTCAGAACACTGATGGAAATAAATGGAGAAAGACATGTGCTCCACAAAAATGACAAAGAGATAGAAGGTGGAGACATTTTGACAAAATGTCCAATCAGCCAGCCAAGAAGAAATCAAAAATACCCAATTGCTTCCACCATGTTATCCACAGCCTTGAGCAATTCAGACATCTTGGAGATCCTGGGAATTCCTGCTAATATCAGATCAGACCTGATTTTCTACACAGTGGTATGAATGCTAAGGGAAAGTAACACCACTGAAACAAGCGAATAAGTGGTCAGTTATTAAGTACTTTCTGAAAAGGGGCAAATGAGGTATATAAGCACAGAGAGACACCCAGAGACACTGGGGGAGGGTTGTAATCACTTAAGATGTGGGACAGACTTTAAGATCTAAAACAATGAGTGTAGAACATAGGAAATAGCCTGGGTACACATTTAGAAGACCAAATAATCAGGTGTTGGGGGTGGCTGTGAGAGATGGAAGTCTTCTGGTTTGGGAGTCAGCAGTAAGCACATTGAGTTAAAAACAAAACAAAAAACACCAAAATATCGACATTGTATGTAAACAGCTTTACCCTCTGCCCACCCCATGCCACCCTATCCCACCCCACCCCACCCCACCCCACCCCATTACCTTTTATTGTTCCCTTCATGTCCAATGTGCTCTCACTGGGTTGTTTTTGTTTTTTGAAGATCCGGAAATGTCTTTGGTGTGTTTGGAAGACTTTAAGGCATATGCACGCCAGCAGTTGTCTAAGTTATCCTGGGACTTTATTGAAGGAGAAGCTGATGAGGGCATCACCCGCAATGACAACATCACAGCATTTAAAAGGTCTGCTCATTATCCTTTCTACAGTTTCTCTAATATGCATTGCTCTTGAGATGGTAATAATTCCGGTGTCTGCCTGTAGTGAGCACAGTATATATAGAAAAATGGCAGGCTTCCGTGTTGTTTCATTGTAGGTAGGATGCAGGAAAGGGAGCTGGGGAGGTTTTGTAGAGAGAATCTATCTCAGATCTAGGACAAGGGAGTTGTCAAGTATCTGCATCCCAGCAACTTTGTTCCCTGTAAAGATGGAACAAGATTAACTGGGTACACAGTGTAGAAACTCGCTTATAGATCTACATCTCCTGAGCTCCTAAAACCTCTGCGTTGGAGGAGAAGATTGTGAAGTGGGAGAAAGGTCTCATGTTTGGAGAAAATGCAGTCAAAGGATGTTTAGGGATAATGGAAGATTGATTCAGGTGAAAACTGGACTTGAAAAAATGAGGGTTGGAGCATATGCCAGCCAACAACATGTATGTGTAAGTTTCCATCTGGGTAAAAGAATGTTTTCTATCTTATTTGTGAATTACACTACCTTCTCCAGAGCAACGTATAAGTCAAATGAATTAGTTCTCTTGGGAAGCAAGGCAAGATTGTTTTCTAGGGTCTGAACTCTTTTGATTGCCTGGTTTTTCTTTCTGGGATGTCTGAAATTTTTTTCTCCTGTCTAGTCATTGCTGATCAAAACTAAATTAAGCATCTAAGCACTAAATGTCAAGACAAATAGGACTAGAAAAGAGCCGAGGTTGGACTTTGGCTCATGAGCAGTTCAGAAAGGGCTGGCTTAATAGTTAAAACTGTTTCCTGGAGATCAGCCTCCTCCTGAGCCTATGTTGCTAATTCAGCAACATCTAACTCATCCTCTCAAGGTTTCTGGGATCTAAGTCTGCTTAGGCCTGCTTTGTGAATTAGGGCCCTAGCTCCAGAAAGCATCACCTTGCTGGGAAATAATCCATCTTATTGTCTAACGCAGAATCCGCCTCCGTCCCCGATACCTGAGGGATGTGTCAACTGTGGATGCCAGGACTACAATCCAAGGGCAGGAGATCAGTGCCCCCATTTGCATCTCACCCTCAGCTTTTCACTCCGTGGCCTGGCCAGATGGAGAAAGGAGCACAGCCAGAGGTATGAATCATTCCACCTGAAGGTTCCCATCCAGAAGGCCAGAAGTGAGCAAGAGGCCTCACCCAGATATGTGGTAGGGGTCATCAAGACTTCTTACAGAAAAGTTTTAGGGGCATTTGTCCTGTTGGAGCAAAGAATGATAACCAAGGGATTACTTAAGCCATTGTTTGTGTAACATATCACATGTAGACTGTAAAAATGTTGTCTATAAAAATAATGATCACAGTAAAAGAGGAACTAGTGACAAATAAGAACACACTAAAATCTGAATTCATGCCTTGAAATGGGGTGCTGTCCCCACTGAATCATAGTATGTGGACAGGGAGAACTTAGAGGGGAAGTGTTAAGCATGACACTGAGAAGGGGGCTCTATCAAGCTTTCTTGGCCAGAGATGGGGCAAAATTCTGAGTCCACACTTAGGGTGAGAAAACATGATCTTTTAAAATTTAATTCATTAATTATTTTAGTTATTACAACTTGTGTCCTAGCTATAGCCCCCCTCCCTAATCCTTACCAATCCCACCCTACCTCCCTTTTCTCCTCCCATGCCCCTTCCCCTTCCATCTGACCCTAGCCTATCATGTCTCATCAGGACTGTCTGTAATGTCCTCCTCTGTGGCCTGGTAAGGCTGCCTCCTCTCCCACCCCAGGGAGAGGTGATCAAAGAGCCAGCCTCTGAGTTCATGTCAGAGACAACCCTTGTTCTTCTTACTAGAAAGCACATTTTTACACTGAGCTACTATGTGCTACATTTGTGCAGGGGTTCTAGGTTATCTCCATGAATGGTCCTTAGTTGGAGTATCAGTCTCATAAAAAATCCTTGTGCCCAAATTTTTTGGTTCTGTTGTTCTCCTGATGGAGCTCTCATCCCCTCCAGGTCTTTCATCTCCCCCTTCTTTCATAAGATTCCTGGAACTCTGTCCAAAGTTTGGCTATGAGTCCCAGCATCTCCTTATATACTCTGCTAGGTAGAGTCTTTCAGAGGTCCTCTGTGGTAGGTACTACTCTGTGGTAGGCTCCTGTCATATTTCCTGTTTTCTCCCTCTTCTGATATCTATCCCATTCACCTTTCTGAATGAGATTGAGCCTCTTACCCAGGATCTTCCTTCTTGCTTAACTTCTTTAGGTATACAGATTTTAGTATGATTATCCTATGTTATATGTCTAATATACACTTATAAGTGATTATATACCCTGTGTGTATTTCTGCTTCTTGGGTACCTCACTCAGAATGATCTTTTCTAGTTCCCACCATTTACCTGCAAATTTCATGATTTCCTTGTTTTTAATTGCTGCATAGTATTCCATTGTGTAAATGTACCACAATTTCTGTATCCAATCCTCAACTGAGGTACATCTGGGTTGTTTCCAGATTCTAGTTATTATTAATAAAGCTGCTACAAACATGGTTGAGAAAATGTCCTTGTTGTGTACTTGAGCATATTTTGGATATATGCCCAGGAGTGGGATAGCTGGATCCTGAAGTGGCACTATTCCTAATTGTCTGAGATAATGCCAGATTGATTTCCAAAGTGGTTGCACACGTTTCCATTCTCATCGGCAATGGAGGAGGGTTTACCTTTCTCCATACCTGTTCCAGCATGTGTTGTCACTTGAATTGTTGATCTTAGCCGTTCTGGTGGGTGTAAGGTGAAATCTCAGGGTTATTTTGATTTTCATTTCCCTGGTGACTAAAGATGTTGAGCATTTTTTAAGTGCCATTCAATATTCCTCTATTGAGAATTCTCTGTTGAGCTCTATACCCCATTTTTAATTGTATTACTTGAATTGTTGTTGTTTAACTTCTTGGGTTCTTTATATATTCTGGTGCTAGAGCAATAAGACAATTAAAGGAGATCAAGGAAATTCAAATCAGAAAGAGAAGTCAAAGTATCACTATTTGTTGATGAAATGATAGAATACATGAGTGACCCCAAAATTTCTACCATGAAACTCCTATAGCTGATAAATACCTTCAGCATAGTGGCTGGATATAATATTAACTTAAAAAAAATCAGTAGCCCTCCTGTATACAAGGGACAAATGGGCTGAAAAAGAAATTAAGGGAACAACACCCTTCACAATAGCTACAAATGACATAAAGAAATAGACGAAGATGAAATGACCTTCCATGCTCATGGTTTGGCCATCTTACCAAAAGCAATCTACAGATTCAATGCAATTCCTATCAACTTACCAATACAATTCTTTACAGGTATTGAAAGAAAAAATCTCAACTTCAAATTGAATAACAAATAACCCAGAATAGCTAAAACAATCCTTTACAATAAAAGATCTTCTGGAGGTATCTCCATTCCTGATCTCAGGCTGTACTATAGAGCAACAGTAATAAAAAAAACTGCCTGGTACTGGCGTAGAAACAGACTGGTGGATCAATGGAATCGAAAAGAAGACCCAGAAATAAAACCATACTCTTTTTTAATTTAGTTTTTAATTTTTATTAATTATAGTTTATTCACTTTGTTTCCCACCTGTAGCTCTCTCCCTCCTCTCTCCCAATCCCACCTTCCCTCCCCTTTCTCCACCCATGCTCCTCCCCAAGTCCACTGATAGGGAGGTCTTCCTCTTCCTCCTTCTGATCCTAGTCTATCAGGTCTCATTAGGAGTGGCTGCATTGTCTTCCTCTGTGGCCTGGTGAGGCTGCTCCCCCTCAGAGGGAGGTGCCCAAAGAGCAGGCCAATCAGATCATGTCAGAAACAGTCCCTGTTCCCATTACTATGGAACCCACTTGGAAATTGAATTGCCATGGGTTACATCTGTGCAGACGTTCTAGGTTGTCTTCATGAATGGTCCTTGGTTGGAGTATCAGTCTCAGAAAAGACCCCTGTGCCCAAATTTTTTGGTTCTGTTGCTCTCCTTGTGGAGCTCTTGTCCTCTCCAGGTCTTACCCCCTTCTTTCATAAGATTCCCTGCACTCTGCCAAAAGTTTGGCTATAAGTCTCAGCAGCTGCCTTGATACCCTGCAGGGTAGAGCCTTTCAGAGGCCCTCTGTAAAACCATACTCTTACAGACACCTGATTGATGACAAAGATGTCAAAACTATACAATGGAAAAAAGATAGCATCTTCAACAAATGGTGCTGGTCCAACTGGATGTCTACATGTAAATAAATGCAAACAGATCCGTACTTATCACCCTGCACAAAACTGAAGTCCAAGTGGATCAAAGACCTCAACATAAAACCAGACACACTAAATCTATTAGAAGAAAAAGTGGGTAAAAGCTTTGAAATAATTGGCACAGGAGACAACTTCCTGAACAGAATACCAACAGCACAGGCTCTAAGATCAACAATTAATGAATGTCACCTCATGAAACTGAAAAGCTTCTGTAAAGCAAAGGACACTGTCATCAGAACAAAATGACAGCCTGTAGACTGGGAAAGGATATTTACCAACCCTATATCTGACAGAGTGCTAATATCAAGAAATGATTTTTTTTTTCAAATCCTCACACAGGGCTTGGTAGCTGCCTTTTTCTACGTATTCCAATTCTCTTTCATTACCCTTCTCATCTTGTGTAAAGAAAAGTTCTTTGGTGGTTATGTCTTTTTCCTAGTAAACCCTGTGGAAGTCTGTCCTTCTGACTTCCACAAATATGATCATGGATAAGAACAGTAAAGAATGAAAACAGATAAGACTGAAAATATTATTGGTAGTCCATTATCTTAATTCCAGGCCAAACATGGTGTGTGTGTGTGTGTGTGTGTGTGTGTGTGTGTGTGTGTGTGTGTGAATTTCCTAGATATCTTCTGACATTTTTTTCCCTTTGACACCATCATATATGAGGCAATGAGTCTGACTATTCTAGAGTTAGAGGGACAAAAACAGGTATGGCTGGTGGAAACATGTCCTAAGTGAAAATAACCGACTCACCAAATGTCCATGAATATGGATGTGTTGGCTTCTAGTGCAGTGAGGGAAGTGGTCTCCTGCTGACATGAGGCACTGGCATTACATTTTGATCAGCCCAAATTCTGTGCTCATGGAAAAAGGAGCTTCATAGTGAGATTCACCTCCTGGGAGACACACTGAAGAGATGAAAGTGGAAAATGAGAAATAATAATTCAGTAGCCATGGCATATATCAGTACCTTCCCAATTGGCAAATAAAGGAATTAAGCCTCAGGCCACACAGAAAATGAGGGGTGGGATTCAGCCTTCTCATTTTCACATGTGTTTCTCCCACTGAAAAGCTCATCGTATCTCTTAATCCCCTGTGTTCCACAAAGGAATTCATAGGTTTCCTTTCCTGCCTGAAGGGCATAAGGCACCCAATGGTAGCCCTGGGGATTAAATCACATCCCTTGCTCTAAAATCTTCATTATGGAAAGCATTTCCATAGCTGCTTGCGCAAAAGAAAACGCAAACCATCTCTCATGGGGAAGTAGAATGAACTCAGGCTTTCTCTGCACTCATTGGGCATCATGGCCTGAGGCAAATTCTGAACAACTCTGCTCTAAAGTCAGTCACATCCTTTGCTTTGCAGCTGCTCAGGAGGTCAACATCTGCTACATCACCAGCACTTACACCAGCTGTGCCCTGGAGGACATTGTTGCTGCTGCCCCAGGAGGCTTACGGTGGTTCCAACTCTATGTGCAACCAGATTGGGAGCTCAACAAACGGCTAGTTCAGAGGGTAGAAGCCTTGGGTTTCAAAGCTTTGGTGATAACTGTAGATGCACCTGTAATTGGCAATAGGAGACAAAACATGCGAAACCAACTGAATTTGGAGGAAAACATAATGCTGAAGGACCTCCGATCACCTGAAGAGGTGAGAAAGATGTCAGACTCAATGGGTATCAATTATGATAAGTATTTAGTATAAGGAGAGACCATTACCCTCATATCATTCCTCCTTCCTTCGTTCCCCTTTTGTCTATCCCCCTCCCTTCTTTTATCTATACTTCTGTTCTTCCCTTTCTCCCTTCCTCACTTAGTTCCTCCTCCTTCCTTCCTTCCTTCCATCATCAAGCCATCCCTCCTTTACTTCTTTCCTCTCTCCTGCCTTCTTTCTCTCTTTTATCCTTCCCTCTCTCTCTCTCTCTCTCTCACAAACTTTGAATCTTCTTCCTTCTTTCCTACATTCATCTATATATCCTTCACTCACTTCCTTCCTCCCTCCTGTCTTCTTTCTCTCATCTATTCCTCACTCACTCACTTTATTCCTCCCTCCTGCCCTCATTTCCACAAATATTTTCCCGTACCTGCTCTGTCATGTCAGGCACTGGAGGTGTAGCAGTTAAGGAGACTGAACTGTTTTTTGCTTCCCTTGCCTCCTGGCAGGCAGAACTTAAAGCTAAGTGTTCTTTCCTCTGGAGCTTCACAGCGTAACATCAGAGATGTTCAAGCCAGGGCTGCTGTTGGGATACAGGAGAGCCTTAGGGAGGAGTTTTGCAGGAACTGGAGAGTAAACAAAATATTCTAGTTAACACTGGATTCAGAAAATGAGAGTTTTACAAAGAATGCACAGATAAACTGACTCTTAGGAGAGGATGCTCGTGTGAGCATCAATTGTATAGCACAATTGTATAGTTAGCTAGTTCAACCAGCTGAGGCCCCCCTCTGCTGCCTTAAAAATGTAAAACTCATCCAGAAACATCGAGGTAATGCAGCACATCTTTTGGAAAACTTTCAATTAAGAAACTACAATGGACACATTTTCATTGAATTCTAATGATAGAAAAAGATGGAGTGCCCTTGAAAGTGAGTATCATGGCTAAGGTTGTAATGGCCTTTTCAGCTCATGGGTCACTATGATTGCTCTGTGTGTCCCTGAAACAAGGACACATTGAAATTTAAGGGAATATGCTGCATACTGTGAGCCAGGCTAGATGGTGAACAATGCCTGGTTTAAGCTTCTTATTGCTTTGGTTTTATTAGCCCATGGATAGCTCAACCATAAAATGGCAGACTGACCTATGACTATTTTCCTTATTCATTTCTCATACTGAACACTGTACCCTGTTGAAGTACATATACTGTCTTATCTGTCCTTGTGTCTCCAGATCTTAGAATAATTATAAAGGAAAGACCTTGATTAATGGTCAATGAACAAGACATGAAATAGAAGCCTTCATACAACTCTTGCAAAAGGAAGTTGATAGAACCAGCATTGGGTGGTGTTGCTTGGTTTTTATAGCTTATAATTGACAGAGCTCCAAATGTGTTTCATCTTTTGTGTGAATCAAGTGATGTGAGAATTTGGGACTAAGAGTCACCTTCTAATTCCCTACAGAGAAACTCCACAATTACTGCCCCCACGTCTTTGCCGAGTCCATCTTTCTGCTGGGATGATCTTTCCATGTTTCAGACTATGACTCAGTTGCCCATTATCCTCAAAGGGATTTTGACGAAAGAAGATGCAGAGTTAGCAGTGAAGCACAATGTCCAAGGCATCTATGTTTCCAACCATGGTGGGAGGCAGCTCGACGGGGTTCCTGCTTCAGTAAGTAGGAGGACTTCAGTGGGCTGTGCCTGAATGCCCTATGCATGTCTACACCGAAGCCCTCTACTAACTCTGGTACACACTGCCCTCTCCCACATCCCGGGTACTGCCTATGGACCTTAAGGATGGTTACTCACTAGCAATAGCCTAAGGTCCATCTGATCATTGCTGGAAATTGTGCGTGTAACATGTGTCACGTCTGTGGCACTGCTGTACCACACACATCTGTATTTTAGAGTTAGAGACACTGGCGTTTAAGGACATCAACTCTGTGTACAAGTTCGCAGTAGGTAAAGAGGTAGACCAAGGGAGATATTTGAAAGGCGGTGAAGACTCTATCTTCTGCCATCAGGGACCAGATTGAAGCGGGTGTGTCTTCATGGGCTTTAGAAACCTCAAGTTTTCCTCTCTGACACCATGCAGGAAGCAGCGGCACCTCACGGAGGCACATAAGCTTAGGGATGCACTCATGGACGCTACACTGATGACTCTTCCTAAAATCTGTCACAGCCTGCTCTAGCTCTCAAATGTGTGTCTGTTCTCCATGGCACTTGAGAGAAAGAAAATGAAGAAAGGAAAGGGAGAAAGAGACTTTAAGTGGAAATCAGTTATTAGCTTGTTGTCATAGAATTATTTATGCTCTCGTTTCCCCAAGGTTGTTCTAGCAATGGTTGGCTCATTTTAGCAAACCAAAGTGAAGGTTTCCCTCCTCAGCTCTTTGGCATCATATAAATATACCATGAACAACAACAACAAAAAAAAACCCTTATTCTTAAAACATCCCTAATTTCATCACAAACATTAGTGTTCATTTCTTGGTACTTATTAATACAAATAAATATTTTACAAATAAATATTTTTGTTTTAAAATAGATACATATTTACATGTTTCATAATTTCCTTCTTTGCAGTTATCCAATGAATTAAGCACATTCTCATATTTCGATACAAGTCTCTCTCCTTTTTAATGATGTGTCATGAATGGGCAATTTGTATAATCAGCCCCTTATTGTTGAACATCTGCATTCTTTCCAGTATTTCCCTACTACTTTGTTTCTTTTTGGCTGATGTGTCAGTGTGACAAGGTCACACCACATAGCCTATACTGGCTTTGGATCCTCAATCTTCTCTATTCTCTATATGTGAGAATTATATGCCCATACTACTATATCTGACTTAATTTTTATTTATTTATTAATTTATATTTTTAATTTTTAAGTGATATATGTTTAATTTTTAAACAATGCATCAGTGAACATCTTCCAAACCAAACTCTTTAGTGTGGTCTTGATTAATTCTCTCAAAGGTAGGCTCCGAGAAGCAGAATTCCAAAGATGCTCTCTTGTATGCTCTGAGGCTTCTGGAATTGAGTGATTTCAGGTGCTCATCACTCATTCTCCACTAGGTCCTTGCTGGTGAGAGCAGGTAAATGGTATGACAGGTCTGTAAGCAGAGAAGGCTCAATCTTTTGTGTTCCTTAGAGAAAGCTGGATTGAAAGGTATAGTCATGTCTCCTACTTCCTAAGGCAGGAGAAGAAGACAAGGAAAATGAAGGGAACGTGGGTCTGAACTCTTCACTTCCAGAGTCAGCCGTAGAAATCAGGCACACTGACTGGGCTGCTAGGGATTTCTTGTTAAAAATAGCGTTTGTATCTGCTGTTTCCATTTATTCTCATATATTTACTTTTCAATGTTTAAAAAAGTTTAAATACAACTAAGAAAGTCACAACCTCAGTAAAGAGTGCCTTGAGAGATAATACTCTTCCCTCTGAGCAGTGACTCAAACAAGAGTAAGGCACCAACAAGGAAAGGAGGTTAAGGACCAGGCCTGAGCTTTTGATTTTAATCTTATCAACAGCTCTGGCTCATCCTTAAGCCTGACCAAGGCCCCTCACAATTGCAGTTGCAAAAGATAATCTTTAAAAAAAAAGATGAGTGAGCTTGTTCTGTGAGTTTCCTTCTGTGTGCTTCCTCCTGGAACCAAAGCATTTTCAGAGAACTTTACTGAATGTCCTGCTCTGACCAATTAAAAAATGGACCATTCTGCATCCTAGGCTGAAATAATTCTCCTGGAACTTCATCTATTTACTCTGTAATTTAGGTTTTGCATTTTTTAACCTTTTATTTATTTATTGGATGTGAGGGGGTGTCTGTGCATCCCAGCTCACTCATCTGTGCATATGTGTACAGGAGAATGCAGCTAGTGCCTTCATGTGCTGAAACATCACACAAGCCCTGTTTTTTGATGATTCAGAGAGTCTCTCTGTAACCCAGCTGGCCCTGAACTCCTGATTCTCTTTGCCTCTGTGTCCTGAGTGCTGGGGTTATAGGCACCACTGATCTTAGCATCTCCATTCTATTTCTAAATTATTGTCACCTGCACTGCTGAATTTGACTAATGGAGTTTTTAAAAATATATTTATTTCCTTTTTCAGAATATCATAATAAAAATAATACTGGGACATGAGTTTTCTCCAGGTATTATATTTAAGTCCAAAATACATTGAGTGCTTTCTCCATACACACATAAAAAAACTAAGTTATTTACTCCCTGTTATTCTTTTATTAATATACTTTAGTCTAGGGCAGCATTTTGATGGATTCCTTCCACAGTGCCAGGGTCTGGGGACTCTGTTTCAATTCCTCTCCTCCTGTTTCCTTTGGAGAAGCACAGATAATAACCAAAGGCATCTCAGAACCATCTCTTCAGCAAGGACCCTCATTCCAGACCCCAAAGGTCTGCTGTCCTCCTCCTTGTAGACTGGGAGGATCCAGGAATTTATGGATGTTAGGTAGAGGATGGGGGCAGATAACACACCTGAGGAGCCATGGCCTCCTTGTCTGGAACTAAGAGAAACCAGGACAAAGCAACCCTGTCTTTTCTTTATCTTTCAAAGGCTCAGATTTGTCTTCTATTATGTTGTTGCCATATTATTGCTTTTGTATCTCAAATGAGTTGACCATTCATGGTGATTCAGTTTTATGAATCACCATGCCCATTCAGTTTTTTATGATGTTTTTATTTCAGTTTATTTAATTTATAACCCAAAGTGTTCTCTTCCTTCTCTCCTCTTAGTTCACCTTTTCTCCACTTTCTCCCTTCCCCTCTTTCCTTTCTGCCAGAAAAGGGGATTTCTCCTCTCCCCATATCAACATTCCTCAGTACATCAAGTCACATTAGGACTGAGCATATCCTCATCCCTGGAGGCCAGGAAAGGCAGAGCCTCCTGGAGGAAGTGATCCAAAAGCAGATAATAGAGTCGATGGTCAAAAGAGCAGGCCTGGTGGTCTCTAATGTTAATAGATCTCTGGGGTTGTAGGTAGAGCTGTCAGAGTCCTCTGGTTTTCCTTCTGCTCCCTGATCAGTGCTAGACTCCTGACAGCAGATTTGGGTGAGTCCTGGAAATGGGGAAGGCCTAGGAACTGGGGTTTAAGGAAGTGAATTGCAGAAGGCCCTGGGCAGATCTGGCCACTGTTGCTGGCTGGCTGTGGCAGGCCAGTAGATGGGGGTTAGTGGGTTCTGACCTGCTGATTCTTGATCCCTGCTGGTCTCAAGGGCTGCAGATAGGGGTGGAATACAGGAAATGGTGCAGGCCAGGGAATTCCCCATTCACTTTTCAAAAACAGGCTGATGTTTAGACACTCAGGTCATGAATGGTAACATTCATTCTGCTAAAAAAAAAAAAAAAAAGATACAGAACCCAAGACATGGAGGCCACCTCTAAGTAGGACATCTTGGAAACAGAGATGGTTGAAAGAAAATGAAAGACAACAGATTCCTCTGTGCTAAAGTGAATACCAAGCATATCTTCCAACCTGTAGAAAAAATTAAAAATCCAGAAGCTAGACTGGAGGTGAAGTGGAATGTGGCCAAAAAGGCAGGGAGCAGGGATATCTGCGCTGCGGGGGGGGGGGGTCAGTGAGCTTTAATTTTGGTCCCTAGGACTCTTCAGGCCTCTGGAGGAAGGTGCTGGTTCCCTATAGCTGCAAGCACAGTTGGAGAAAAGATTGTGAAGGGCTTGGCCTTTGCTTGGATTTCCCGATCCCTCTCTGCTTTGAGAGGAAATTCATGCCCACGAGAAACAAGCTGAAGCCATGTGTGCATTTCTTTCTCAGATTGATGCTCTGACAGAAGTGGTGGCTGCTGTCAAAGGGAAAATTGAAGTGTACATGGATGGTGGGGTGCGAACCGGCAGTGATGTGTTGAAGGCCCTGGCCCTTGGGGCGAGGTGCATTTTCCTTGGGAGACCAATCCTTTGGGGCCTTACCTACAAGGTAAGATTGCTAGCATGAGATAAAGAGCTCAGCATTATTGCCATGGTTTTCTGCTTCCCATCTTCAGGGAAAGATATTTCCTTGAGTTCCTGCAAAATTGTTGGAGGTCACCTCAACTTCAGGCCTCTGAAGTGTTCTACAGACTTCAACAGCCACCACCTTTACTTTCTTTTACTCTCTACATAATTCTGATTTCATAGATTCTATCTCTCTCTGCCACTGTCCTGACTGTACACACAGTTTGCACCCACAAAATGGTCCAAATGTTCATTCAAAGCTCTGTCTCTTCTCTTCTACTTTTCAGGGTGAACACGGTGTGAAGGAAGTTTTAAATATTTTAAAAGCAGAGTTACACACCTCTATGGCCCTTTCAGGTATGTATTCTGTTTATCTGGTGAGGAGCTTCAGATAGGAGGTCTAAGACAGAGGTAGATGGTCCACCATGCTGGTTAACCCACCCTTGGCTAGGTAGTTGTCTTAAAGACAGAAAAGAGTAGAAATGTCCTACAAAGAGATCAGGGAGTGCTCTCTGACAGCAGAAACCCTGGACTCTTCTCAAGGTCATTGTCAGTGTTAAGGTAGTTCAATCTGTAGATCACCTAAGATTCCTGCCCCTGGTTTGAAATTCAACCATTTCCTAGTAAAAGAATCTGTCACTGGCTACACTTTTGTGAAATATTTTGCTCATGTTTTGTGCATAGAGGTGAAGGGGGTTACATCCAATTAAATTCTACACAGCCTCGGACTAAATTCCTTCAGCCTTTTCATTACCAGGGCTTCTCACTGTCCTTGCTCACAGCTCCCCATGCCATAGAGCTAACTCTGCTTTCATTGCTTTCTTTTTCAATCCCCATGTGAAGCTCAACTCTAGCCTTCACATTATATCCTAATTACTTCTTCTGATAATGAAGGATCTTGCCTGTGACAGAACCTTCCTCTAGAAGGCATTTGGTATGTGGAGTACTCATGCCATTGCTACAGTATTTCTGAGTCTCCTTTTCCTCATAGACTAACACATACTGCCTAAGCACACCTACTTCACCAGAAATAAGGTAAAGGCCAAAGACAGCTAGTGCATGCAATTGGCTTTTTTGATGATTAAATTGAGATTGTGTGTGTGTGTGTGTTTGTGTTTGTGTGTAGTGTTACATTTTGA